TATATATATATATATATATATATGTATATATATATATAATATATATATATATATATATATATATATCGGAGTAGGCCGGGGGGGGCGGGCGGGCCGGCGCCGTGCCCCCGTGTGGGGCACTTGGGGGTCCCAGAGCTGCTGGGACTGCCCGGGCCCGCCCCCAAACACGCCACGACACGCCACGAGGGCCCTAGTTAAATATTGCCAAAACAGCCCCAAGAGGCCCTGGACGCGCCGAAGAAGGCCTCAGGACGGCCGACGACACCGCCAAAACGCCCCAAGAGCGCCTCCAAAAGCCCCAGAAGCCGAAAATCACATATTTGCTCATGGCTTTTGAAGCATATTTGGGCTCTCGCATGTTCCGCCCCCCCACGGTCCGGGACGGCCGAAAAGGCACCCAAGAAAGCCCAGAAACGGCCCAGGAGGCTCCCCAGATAATTCAAGAGAGCCTCGAGAGCGCCCAAGAGCGACCCAAGAGGGCCCGAAGAGCTCGACATTTCAAGGTCTCCGGCCTGAGAGGCTCCAAGGACGCCCCCAGAGGCCATCAAGAGGCTTCCAAGAAGCCCCGTGAGGCTCCCAAGAGGCCCCCAAGGGGCCCCCAGGGAAGTCCCCTGCGGGCCCCCAAGATACCTCGGTAAATCGTATTTCCCAGACAGCTTTCTGGGAGCATGATTCCTTGGGCTTCGGCCCACCGCCCCAACCATGTTTCCAATAGGCTTGCCGACAAGGCCAAAAAGGGGCCCCTCGGTAAGCTCCACAGGCCCCCCTCTTAAGAGAGCCGAACAAATCATGCCCCCGGAAAGCTTTCCGGAACATGATTCTCGGGTTGCCGCCCTCTGCCCAGGCCATGTTCCCTAAACGCCTGCCAGGAAAAAAAACGAGAGTCCCAAGCGCCGCTACCTGCTGCCACGCTCGGAGACGCGTCAGGCCCCGAAGCTTCCGGAGGCGCCCAACGACACCCCAACAAATCATGTTCCCAGGAAGCATTCTGGGAACAAGATTCCTCAGGCTTCCGGCCCTGGCCTCAACCATGTGCCCAAAAATGCTTGCCGGGCAGCCCCCAAATCGGCCCTCATACGCGCCATCATGTTACCAGAAAGCTCTCCGATAACATGACTCCTCAGGCTTCCGCTCCTCGCGCGCAGCATCTGTCCCAAAGCGCCTGTCAAACAGGACTCGAGCGGGCCCTCAAGCGTTCTCTTAGAAGCCCCACAAGATGCTGATGATGACGATGATGATGACGAAGGTGACGATGATGGTGATGGTGATCGTAATGGTTGTGGTAATGCTGACGGCGATATCCACGACCACGCTGATGATGAGGGGGAGGAGGATGACGATGCAGATGATTTGATGGTGTGGATGTTGATGCTCATGATGATGATGATGCTGCTGATGATGGTTATGATGATGAAGATGATGATGATGATGATGATGATGATGATGATGATGATGATGATGATGATGATGATGACGATGGTGCTGCTGCTGATGATGATGCTGAGGCGGGCGACGACGATGATGATGCTGATGATGATGACGACGACAATGCCGACAGCGATTACGATGACGATGACGAAGCTGAGGATGAGGATGAGCTCCCCACGAGGTCCCAGGAAGTCCCGAAGGGCCCCCAAAGGCAATCCCCCGATGCCCCCCGAGACAGCCCAACACTTCATGTGTCCATAGAGCTTGTAGAGAAGACGATATCTTATGCCCCCGCCCCCCCAGACCACCGCGAGGACAAGGACAAAGACGAGGGAAAGGATGAGAGGAGCAGGACGAGCAGTTAGAGAAACGGAAAGGGCGGGAGAGGATAGGGCGACAAGCGCTGCGCCCCGCGCGCGCCGCGACGCTTCCCGAGGGAGACGGGCGGGGAGCCGGAATCGGACGGGACGGAGGAGACGGGAGAGGAGGGGGGGGGGAGGAAGTGGATGAGGAGGAAGAGGACGAGAAGAAAAACCAGGAGCTGGGGCAGGAGCGGGAAGGTTAGGAGGAGCAACCCAGGGCCCGTTCTTCGTCTTGGGTCGATTCAGGGCGCTCTTGGATTACGACAAGGGCTTCCCAGGGTCTCCAGCGACGACGACGCGCCCGACCCTGAATCGTCCAACTGGGGCCGCGGACGACGACGACGACGACGACGACGACCACGACGGCGACGACGACGACGACGACGACGACGACGACGACGACGACGAGAGGCAGGCGGAACTCCGAGGCGGAATTGGTGGCGGATGCGCAGGGCAGAGGGCAGCCAGCCGTCGTCGTAGTAGGCTGGGGGAGGGCCCAGAACTGCGACCTCTGGTTCGCATGGGGGGCCGGGGGGGGCCTTGAAGGCTCCGAGAGGCTTCAGAGGGGGCCCCGGGCCCCCCCGGAGGCTCCCGAGCTGGCCCGAGAGGCGCCCGAAGCGCCCCAGGTTGTCTGGGAGGTGGCTGAAGAGCGCGCCGAGATGGCTTCCGGACGGGCCACGAGCTCTCGGAGACAACCCGAGACTGCTCCTGGGCGGCCACGAAGGCATTCAAGACGGACCAAGAGGCCGCCAGAAGGCCCTCTAAGGGCAGAAATCAAGCATTTCCGATGGACAAATTAAAGTTCCTGGATATTTGTTTTTCAGTCCTACCAGCGACCGCGACGGCCCCAGAGGCTCCCAAAATGAGCCCCAGACGGCCCAAGAGACCCCCAAGGGCCCCCAGACCGCCCGGAGAGAGCTTCAAGCAACACAAGAGAGCTCCAACGCGGCCCAAGAGAGTGCCCAGGAACCCGAGGGGGCCACCAGAGGATCCCTGCGTGGTAGAAGAGGGCCCCCCGAGGGCCCCAAGACGGGCTCAGGTCCCCATGGCGGGCGAAGAGGGACCCGGAACGGCCGAACTGGGCTCCCGGAGGTTCCAAACAAGGCCCACCAGGACTCCCTGAAGACGGTCCAGGAGGCCGCTGAGAAGTCTCCTGGGTGCAAACAACGAGCATCTCCAATGGAAAAGCATACAGTTCTATGATATTCGCTTCTTATGTTCCATCGGCGGCCACGTCGGCCTCGAAGGCTCCTAAAATCGGCGCCACACGGTCCAAGAGGCCTCCAAGAGGGCTCCAATACAGCATCAAGAGAGCGTCGAGCAGCACAAGAGAGCTCCAAAACAAACCGAGAGAGTCCCCGGCGGGCCCGAGGAACCACCGGAGGATCCCTACATGGTCGGAGAGGGCTCCATGAGGGCCCCAAAACGGCTCAGCTACCCATGACATGCCAAGAGGGGCCTAGGACAGCCGAAATGGGCTCCCAAAGTTACCCCCCCACGACTGTCCAGGAGGCCGCTGAGAAGGCCCTCCAAAGGCAAAAATCAAGCATTTCCAATGGAAATACGTATTTGTCTGGGAGCTTCGCTTTTCAGTTCTACCAGCGGTCCCGACGGCCCAGAGGTTACCAAAATGGGCCCCAGACGGCCCCAGAGGCCCCAAAGAGGGTTCCAAAATGGGCTGAAGAGAGCTTCAAGCGGCACAGAAGAGGTGCAAGACGGCCCAAGAGAGCCCCCAGCAAGCCCGAGGGGACCACCAGAGGATTCCTACATGGTCGGAGAGGGCCCCAGGAGGGCCCCAAGACGGGCTGAGCTCCCCACGACGAGCCAAGAGGGCCCCGGAACGGCCGAACTGGGCCCTCAGACTGGCCAACAAAGGCCACAAAAGACTCCAAAGGAAGGTCTGGAGGGACTCCAGAGACTACCACAATGCTTCCAAAATGACTCCCGGCACGCGATCCAGTAGGCACCCGGAGGAAGGAAGTGAAGTAGGTGAAGCAGCACAAGGACGGACACACCGAAGAGCGGGGAAGACAGGGAGGAGGAGGAGAAGGAGGAGGAAGAAGAGGAGGAGGAGGAGGTGAAGGAACAGGGATCTCTTTTCAGGGAGACGCCGGCGAGGAAAATTATGAGTATCACGTGATGGGAAAAAAGGGAAAGCGGGCAGAGGAGGAGGGTAAGGGGACTGCAGTGAGCCGGGGATGATGACGGCGATGACGTTGAAAATGATGACGATGATTGTGCCGACGACGACCAGCAAGATGTTGATGATGCGGATGATGATGCTGAAAAGTACAATGGTGATGATGGCGATGGCGATCACGGTGCTGACGATACTTGTGATAATGATGATTGTTGTGATGGTGAAGGTTACCACGGCCGTGACGATGACGATGAAGATGACAGGGATGATGATGCCAAGTCTGACGATGATCATGGCCCTACCTATAACGGGAACGCGCGCGAAGCTCGCACGATGGTTCTAGAATGTATGTGTGCATGTGTGTACATGTGTACGTACGTATGTATGTGTGTATATAGTGTATGTACAAGTATGCATGTTCGCATGTGTTTATACATTTGTGTATGTGTATATGTATGTATGCATGCGTGTATGTATGTAGATTTGTTTGTATTGGTGTATGCACATGTGTACATATGCAGCAATGCATGTGTGCATGGTTGCATGTATGTATGTGCGCCTGCGTGTATGTGTGTGTATGGATTCAAATATGTCTGAATGTATGGTATGGGTTGATGTATGTACGTACGTATGTATGTACCCATTTATGTGTGTACGTATGCATGCATTGGTGTACGTACATACGTATATGTGTATGAATGTATGTATGCACACATGTGTGCATGCATGTATGTATGCACGTATATACACATATATACATATTTGCGCATGTGCGTGTGTGCGTATGTACGAGAGTATGTATGTTTGTATGTGTACATATATATGTGTGTGAACATATGCATATCTGCTTGTATGTATGCATTTATGTAGGTACGTGTTCTTGGTCTTTTGGTGGTGGTTGTTGGTGTTGCGTTGACCTGTTTGTATTGTTTGTGGTGTGCTGTGGTTTGATTGCCTGAGTATTTGTTTTGTTTATGCTGTTTTGTCTCTCTCTCTCTCTATATATATATATATATATAGGGAAGAGCCCTTGGGCTTGGCGCCTTCCCGGGCCTTCCCCGCCACGGGAGGAGCTGAAGGAGAAGCAGGCTGAGATAGAGCGGCTCGTCCGGGCCTGCGGTGGCGAGGCCCGGGCGGGGTTCGGCACCGCTCCTCGTGTGGGGAAGGGCCAGGGAAGTGGAGGAGGAGGGAGCAGGGATGGGGAGGAGCAGGGATGGAGGGAGGGGAGGAGAGAGGGGAGGATGAGGAGGAAGGGAACAAGGAGAATGAGGAGGACAGGACAGGAAAGGGAAAGTGCGCCAGTAGATCTCCCTGAATACACTAAAGGGGGGGGGGGGTCCAGAACACCCCCCCCCTCCCTCCTTCAAGGGGGGGGGGGTCCGGACCCCCCCCCCCTCCCCCTCCCCCCTTAAGGGGGAGGTGTTCCCGAACCCCTCCCCCCCCCCCTCCTTGAAGGGTGCGGGGGGGGGGGGTCCGGACCCCCCCCCCTCCCCCCCCTTGGCGCTGGAAAGGGGGGGGGTTCGAACCCCCCCCTCGTGTAGGGAGTACGGAGTTGGGAGTAGGGATTGGTGAGTAGTGGGTAGTGAGTTAGTGCGTAGTGAGTAGTGAGTATTGGGTAGTGAGTAGTAGTGAGTAGTGAGTATTGGCTAGTGACTAGTGGGTAGTGAGTGGCGAGTAGGGAGTAGGGAGTGGGGAGTGGGGAGTAGTGAGTAGTGAATAGTGAGTAGTGTGTATTGATAAGTGAGTAATGAGTGGCGAGTAGTGAGTAGTGAGTAGCGAGTAGCGAGTAGTGAGTACTGAGTAGGGAGTAGGGAGTAATGAGTAGTGGGTAGTGAGTAGTGGGTAGTGAGTAGTGGGTGGCGAGTAGTGAGTGAGTAGTGAGTTGTGGGTGGTGCGTAGTCTGTAGTGAGTAGTGAGTAGTGAGTATTGAATAGTGAGTAGTGAGTAATGAGTAGTGAGTAGCCAGTAGCGAGTAGTGAGTAGTGAGTAGTGAGTAGTGAGTACTGAGTACTGAGTAGTGCGTAGTGAGTAGTGAGTAGTGAGTAGTGATGAATAGAAAGTAGTGGGTAGTGGCAGTGGGTAGTGAGTAGTGAGTAGCGAGTAGAGAGTAGCGGGTAGTGAGTCGTGAGGAGCGGATAGGGCGTAGTGAGTAGTGAGTAGTGAGTAGTCAGTAGTGAGTGTTGGGTAGTGATTAGTGAGTAACGAGTAGGGAGTAGCAAGTAGTGAGTAGGGAGTAGGGAGTAGTGAGCAGTGAGTAGTAGGAAGTGGGTAGCGACTAGTGGGTAGTGAGTAGCGATTGGTGAGTAGTGTGTAGTGACTAGCGACTAGTGGCTAGTGAGTTGTGACTAGTGACTAGAGACTATGTAGTGACTAGTGAGTAGGGAGTAGTAAGTAGTGAGTACTGAATAGCGAGTAGCGGGGAGTGAGTAGTGAGTATTGAGTAGCGAGTATGTGGGTAGCGAGTAGTGGGTAGTGAGTAGTGATTTGTGGGCAATGAGTAGTTAGTAGTGAGTAGTGAGTAGTGGATAGTGGGTAGTGGGTAATAAGTAGTGATATGTGAGTAGTGAATAGGGAGTGGTGAGTAGTGCTTAGCGAGTAGTGGGTAGTGAGGAGTGAGTAGTGAGTAGGGAGGAGGGAGTAGTGAGTTGGGAGTAGTGAGTAGCGAGTAGTGGGTGGTGGGTAGTGAGTAGTGGATGGTGAGTAGTGAGTCGTGAGTAGTGAGTAGGGGGTAGTGAGAAGTGAGTGGCGAATAGCGAGTAGTAGTAGTGGGTAGTGAGTAATGAGTAGTGAGTATGTTTTGGGGCTGGGGTTAGTGGTTAGGGTTAGGATTAGGGGTTTGGGCTCGGGTGAGGACTAGGGGTAGGGGTGGCGGGGGTCGGGTTCCGGCGTCAGGGGGCGGCGTGGCGAAAGGGGGGGAGGGGGGGGGGTTCGGACCCCCCCCCCCCTTGAAAGGGGGGGAGGGGGGGGGGGTCCCCGACGACGGGTCGGGGAAAGGGAGGAGGGGGGGGGGGTCCCCGACGACGGATCGGGGAAGGGGGGGGGGGGGGTCCCCCACGACGGATCGGGGAAGGGGGGGAGGGGGGGGGGGTCCTAATCCCCTCCCCCCCTGGGGAGATCCAGCGGCGCACCCTCCAGGAAAGGACCAATGACGAAGTCATAGAAAGCTTTAAAGCCACATGCTTGCGAGTAGCTGTCCCTGTCCCAGGAACGGGAGGAAGGGCGCCTCCACCGCCAAAAGCCCAGACGCTTCGCGTGACCCCACCAGCCCATCCAGAAACGAAGCCCAGCCGAGTTGCCCTGATCAGGGATGTTGAGGAGCATGCAGTGGAATAAAGGGCTGGGGAAGCCACCGTATCCCTAGATGGGGAGGATGGAGGAGGAAACGGAGGAGGAGGAGGTAGAGAGGGAGGGAGGGGGAGGAGGGTGGGAGGAGGAACAGGCGGATGAGGAGGAGGAAGACGGCGGGCAGCAAGGCCAAAGGCTTCTTGGATTTTGGATATCTCTCGAAGTCTCTTCGGACTTCTCTTGAGTTTCTTCGGGTCCTCCTGGGGCATCTTGCGGGCCTCTTGGCGGTCCCAGGAGCCTCGTGGAGCGTCTTGGGTGCTTCGGGACAGCCTTTGGGGCCTCCTGGGGGTCTCTTGGGAGCCTCTTGGGGATCTCTCGTCGTCCTGGGGCCCTCTTGGGGCCGTCTTGGGGCACCCTTGTGAGCCTCGGGGGTCATCTTGGGGCAATCTTGGAAAGGATCGATCAACGAAGGGGGGGTAGTCAATTAGAGCTCCCCCCCCTAGGAGGTAAACCCTGCCCCGGAGGAGAAGACGGGGGGATAGAAGAGGACACTCGCTAAACCAATCACGCGCTAAAGGGCTGGTGGCACTGTTCAGCCACGCGCCGCCAGCCGCACTCCCCCTCTGACGCAGACAAGAACTGCCGCGATAGACCTACACTCATACGAAGACGAGTGCCGTCATACTACGGGGAGGACGCTCGCCGCTGCAGGCGGCAAGAGGATAAAGTCGCAGCCTACATGGCGCTCATTGCAGAACAAGGCAACGCAACCGTTTGAACTCACTCGTTGGTAACCGATTGGAGCTTCCAAGACTTGGGCTCTGGAGGGAAGGTTTTGGGATACCTGGCGGCCCTGGCAGCGAACCAGCGACTCCACTTGGGTTGCACCTCGTGAGCCAACCCTTTACCCCAACTTCCTCGGCACCCAACGCCTTTGCCGAGCTTAATCATGTTCTTGCCGCGCCCCTCACCCCCTTCCCTTCCCTAGTCCAGGGTGCTCACGTTGTTAATTCAGGGATCCTTTTCTGAGGGGATCCTTACTAAAGACATCCTCACCAAGGATTCCTCACTTAGTGGGTCCTTACTAAGAATCCCTTTCTGACGGCATCCTTACTGACGAACGATTGCCCAAACCATCCTCGCTAAGGACTCCTCACTGAAAAGGTGTCTTTCATTAGGTTCCCTTGGTTGAGGCATCCCCATGAATTAATGTTTACCAAACTTGTCTTTACCAAAGGCCGCGCGCTAAAGGGAATGCGTACGACGGGTTCCTTGCTACAAGCATCCGTACCGATGATCTCTAGCAGTGACCCCAGTTGAGGCTTTCGCATGGCGTCCCATAGGGGTTTCATTGGCTGGGCCCGTCGTGTAGGTGAAAGGGGGAGTGTGAGGGAGAGAAATATAGAAAGAGAGAGAGAGAGAGCAACGATGTCCTCCTGTCGCTTACCCCCTCTGCGCTGTGGGTTGTGTGAGAGAGCGACCTTACCCCCCTCACACGTCTTCCTGTCTAAGGGCTCCTTACTAAAGGACTCCTTACTCCCGATTGCTTACTCAAGGCGTCCTGCACAAGGAGACCGTACTAAAAGATGTAGCACGGAGTCTGTACGGCAGTGGGATTTACCGTGGGGGTCCTTACTACAGGCATCCGCATGAAAGGTGGCATGACTAACAATACATTGAACAAACGCAACACGAAGTGCCCCTTATTATGGCACCAGGATTCGAATCTTTCGTACTAAAGGAACCATGCATGTTGATTATTTACGGCAGAGGTCCTAATTGAGAGGATCGGTTCTACAAGGACCCCAACTAAGGACCCCATCACTAGAGAGATCCTCTGCTAGGGTTTCGTGGCAAAGGTTGCAATGCAAGCGAATGCCTCGTACAGGCGTCCACATGGTTGGCTTCCAACTTGAATACATCCGTACTGGGGGCTCCTTGGTAAACCTGCCAAAAACGCATTGCGAAAACACGCGTAGCAGAATTACGACACCCATATTAAGGCATCCGTGTTCAGATGGGTAGCAGTAGGAAGGCGTCGTTACCGCAGGACCCTTATTGAGGGCACACCTTCACGAAAGGCATCCACAGTAAGGGCGCAGTACGGCGCGCATCTTTACTACGGGCCCCATCGCTAAAGGCAGCCTTCCTATGTAACCCGTGCCAGCGGGCGCAAAAAAAAGGATGAGTAATGAATCCGAATTGCAGGGATTTCATTGAGGGGATCCTTGCAATATACATCCCCACTGAGGATCCCTCACTCAAGGGTCTGTACTAAGGGCCCCTTGCTGAAGGCATCCTTACTGACGCCCCGCGCTAAGAACCCCTCACTTAAAGGAACCTCCTTCAGGGTCCCTTGATGCAGGCAGCCTTACACATCCATGCTAAGGAATCCTCGCTGAAAGGAATGGTTCCTACGGGCTTTTTTAAATAGACATCCGTGTTGAGCAGTTCTAGCAAGGGTCCCAGCGGAGGCGTTCGCATGGCGTCCCATCGGGCTTTCATTGGCTGGGCGTTGCGTGAATGTAAAACGGGTAGACGAGATAACGAGATAGAGAGAGAGGGAACGAGAGAGAGAGAGACAGAAAACGATAGTGAGAGAGAGAGAGAGAAACAAAAAAAAAGAGAGAAGGAGATAGAGAGAGAGAGAGAGAGAGCAGACATTTCCTCCTGTCAGGCTCCCCGTCTGTGTTGTGGGATGTAGGGGGGAGCAGCTCCCAACCATTTCCTCCAACCGAAGGAATCCTTACTAAAGGACTTCGAATCCTTATTCAAGGAATTGGTCGTAAGGCATCCTTCCCACAGAGACCATTACTGAGCGGATCCTTTGTGAAGCGAGCGAGAAGTGAGAGAGAGAGAAAGAGAAAGAAAGAGAAAGAGAGAGAGAGAGAGAGTGAGAACGAGAGCCCCCCCGTCCCAGAGCATGTTCCGCGAAAGTCCAATCCCACGCCTCTTGGCAATGGGCTGGAACTCCAAGGACCATGCTCGGGGGGTCATATGTTTCCTGTCTGTCCTCCATACCCTAAGACTGTCAAGGTACCCTCCTGCAAGATCCCCTCATCTTTGCCACGATGTTGGAGGAAGGGGCACAATAAGGAGGAGGAGGAAGACGCTGGAGGAAGAGTATGAGGCGTGAGACCGCCCAAGTCTTGTGTGTCAGGATGCATACTCCACCATCCCCTGGACTCGAGGACCCGCCAAGAACGAACGAACACCTCCGAAAGCCTCGAGCCTCGGACCTCGGACCGCGAGGGTAGAAAACCGCCAAGAACCAACGAAAACCTCCGACAGCCTCGAACCTCGGACATCGGACCTCGAGCCGAGCCGTTCCCCCCCCCCCCCGCCAAAGTCGGACCAGACGAACGGGTAGGATCGGGCAAGGGGGGGGTACGAAAAATCTGCTGCGTGCAGCTGGTCTCAGCCCCGCCGCCGGGCCCATTCCTCGATACACGGCCGCCTCCAGGCGCCAATGGGCGCCAGGAAAACCAGCTACGTGAGCTGATCCTCGACCCTGCCCTTCGCTATCCTGACCTTTCGTCCCCCCCCCCCGCCGAAGGTAAAGGCCGCGGAGCCCTGCGCGCCCCGCGAGCTCGCGGACACCCGAAGACTTGGAATCTCGATGCTCGAACCTCGAACTGCGAGGCTGGAAAGCCGCCGATAACCATTTAAGACCTCCAAAAGCCTCGAACCTTGGACCTCGAACCGCGACGCTGGAAAACCGCCAAAAAGCAACGACAACCTGCGAAAGCCTCGGACCTCGAAGCCTCGAACCTCGGACCTCGAAGCCTCGAAGCCTCGAAGCCTCGAAGCCTCGAACCTCGCGCCCAGCCTGCTCCCCCCTCCGCCAGAGGCCGCGGAGCCCAGCGCGCCCCGCGAGCCCGCGGCTGCCCGGGTGCTCCCGCCCCTCGGCGCGCCCTCGCCGCGCGGCGACGAGGCCCAGGGCGCGGCGAGGCCGCCGCGCCGCTGCCGCGCCGCGGCCGCCGCCGCCGCGCCGCTGCGCCGCCGTGGACGTCCGACTTCCTTCGGAGGCCGTGGACGTCCGACGTCCGACATCCAGATACCGTTACTGCAACTCCAAAGTTCGTGGCAAGAGGGGAGGGGGTCACAACCCTCCCAGACGAGCAGTTTTAGCCGAGACCCCACCGGAAATCTCCAAGACAGCTTAAATCAGACCCCCCCCCAAGACGACTCATCGTTCTAGCTGGTGCGCTCTCCTCCATCCTCCTCCTCCCTCCGCCCCCCCCCCTCCCTCCACCCGTTAGGAGGGGAGGAGGGAGAGGAAGGTGGAGGATGGGCGGGGAAAGAGAGAGGGAGGGAGGAGAGAGGGGGGAGGCGGAAGGGACGATGGAGGAAGAGGGGGAGGAGGAGGGCGTGATATGATCTGGGGCCTGGGGAGGCCGATGCCTGATGCTGTTTCCCTCCTCCCCAGAGGGAGGAGAAGCGACACTACCACCAGCGGACCACCTTTGGCGAGGAGGTGCACGATGCCCCGCAGGTGGGAGATGTCTCGGGCGGGACGCCGATCAACAGATGGGCCACACCACCAAGAGGATTCTCCAGATATGCGCGGTTTTTCCCTACCTAGGCTCTGCCTAGAAGGTTTCTTACTCTCTATCTTAAAGGGGCCGGGCAGTGGAAACCGCCCCGGGCGGTTCCCCCGGTATCCGCCCCGCGGTTCCCCCAGTTACGTTCCCTTAGCTTAGCGTTGCTTATCTCATCTTAGTTTAGCTTATTTCATATTAGCTTAGCTTAGCTTCATCTGAGCTCAGGTTTATCTTAGCTTAGCTTACCTTAATATTAACTTCGCTGAGCTTTAGCATAGCAGAGCACAGCATAGCATCGTGTATCATAGCATAGCGCAGCACGGCATATCATATAATAGCCCATCATAGCATAGCATAGCGCAGCATAGCATAGCATAGCATGGCATAGCATAGCGCAGCACAGCACAGCACAGCATAGCACAGCACAGCATAGCACAGCATAGCATAGTATAGCATAGCATAGCAGCAACGCAAAGGCAAAACAACATCAGCGATAACAAAGCAAAGCACAAGCAACGCAATCAAAGCAAAGCAAACGCAAAAGCAAAGCAAAGGAAAGGCACATCACAATCATAGCATCACTTAGCATAGCACAGCGCAGCATGACATATCATAGCTTAGCATAGCATATCATATCATAGCATATCATATCATAACATAGCATAGCATAGCATCGCATATCATAGCGCAGCATGGCATGGCATAGCATGGCATAGCATAGCATAGCAACTAATGCTGCTTTCCTAGGGGCTCCAACTTCTAGGTAGGGTCGCACTGGGGTAATTGTTTTGTTTGTTTAAATCTGCGGTCTCCGAAAGTTCTGACCCTTTCACCAGGGCCGGCTTTTCATCGCGAGTCGTTTTTGGACGGCCCTGGGGCCCTGCGAGGGCCCCCAGATGCCGAAAACAGCGCGCCAGTGCGAGGCCCCCTGTGCGCCAGTGCCATTGCGCCCCGCGCCCTGGCCCCTGGCTGTGGAAAACCGACGGAAGTTCTCGGACCCCTGGGGGGCGCTTCCGCGGTTCGGTCGGCTCGGCCGCGTCGCAGTCGGCTGCACTTCTCCTAAAATCCTGGCGTCTCAATTTTTATCGACTTTCGCCCTGTTTCGGGCCCCGGGGCCTTCACAGATCGATCGGGCCCGACAAATGGCTCAGAATTGATGGGGTCTGGGGCTCTGGTCGTCGTGATTTTTCGTGGCGTTGCGAGCTTTCGTTGCGTCGGATCTCAGGGTTGGCCAGCTCGATTCGGTCGGTCGTCGTGTCCCAGAGTAGGGCCAGTGGAGACAACGGGGGAGGCCCCTCGTCGCCACGGCTGGACGCAGCTCGGGAAACTGAGGCGTTTGGACCGCGGGAGGGGTCCGGGGATCAACGTTTAGCTGCCATTGTCTCAACTGGCCCTGCTCCGAGTGCTGGGCCTCTTGCGGCCTGTCAGTTTCGATCGGCTTTCGGTTTGACATCGGCTCGTGTGGTCTTCGGCTGTGCCGTCGCTGTGGACGGCCTTGCGAGATACCCGCTCCCTCCATCCGCTCTGGCAATAGCCAGCAGTCCCTTGCTGGTGTGGCCCCCGTGGAGGTGCCGCGGCGTCATAAGACGTGGACAGGAAAGTAAAGGCGGAGGAATACGAGGGGATGCAGAAGAGGAAGAGTAGTAAGGAGAAGGATGATCTTGATGATGGTTATATGTTATGATGGTGGTGGTGGTGGTTGTGATGATGATGGTGATGGCGATGGTGATGGTGATGGTGACGATGACGATGATGCTGCTGCTGCTGATGATGATGATGATGATGATAATGATAAGGAGGAGGAGGAGGAGGAGGGTGATGATGATGAGGATGAGGAGGATGATGGTGGTGATGACGACGGTGATACTGTGGTGGCGGTGATGAGGCGACAGCGGCGATGATGATGAGGCTGATCTTGATGACGATGATTCTGCTGCTGATGATGACGATGACGATGATGATGCTGCTGATGAGGATCATGATGACGATGAAGATGAAGATGCTCATGCTGCTGATGATGATGACAATGATGATGGTGATGATGGTGTTGATGTTGATGATGAGGATGCTGATGATGATGGCGATTATGCTGCTGATGATGCTGTTCATGATGCAGATGATGATGCTGATGCTGATGCTGATTCTGATGATGGTCATGATGATGCCTTAGATGCTCATGGTGATGTTGCTGCTGATGATGCTGATGATGATGCTGATGATGATTCTGATTATTATAATGATGTTGATTAGGACGACGACGATGGTGATGATGCTGATGATAATGTTGATGAGGAGTATGATGATGATACTGATGTTGATGCTGATGATGACGACGATGATGATGATGCTGATGGCGATGTTGATTATTACGGCGATGATGATAATGATGATGTTGATGCTGATGATGTTGTTTAATGTTATATTATATCGACCATGTATTAAGAGTATTCGTATCGTGATGTCGATGGTTGATGATGATGATGCTGCCGTTGATGATGATGATGCTGCTGATGATGATGATGCTGATGATGACGACGATGACGGTGGTGGTGGTGGTTGCGTTGGTGATTACAAGGGAGAGCTTAGTCAGGAGGAGGAGGAGGAAGAAGAGGAGGAGGAGGCGGAGGAGGAGGACGACGAGGAGGAGGAGGAGGAGAATGTGGAGGAGGAGGAGGACGAGGATGACGAGGAGGACGAGGACGACGAGGAGGACCAGGAGGACGAGGAGGACGAGGAGGACGAGGAGGAGGAGGAGGAGGAGAAGGAGGAGGAGGCGGCGCAGGGTGAGAAGGAGGAGGAGGAGGAGGAGGAGGAGGAGGAGGAGGAGAAGGGGGTGAGGGGCCGAGGGAGGGGGCCGGGGCTGCGCGCAGGTCGACGGAGTCGCTGCAGCGTCAGATCAAGGCCAAAGACGCGAAGATCGCGAAGCAGTCGGAGAAGGTCCAGATACTCACCGAGATGGTCGAGAAGCGCGACAAGCAGATCGAGGAGCTGTCCACCGCAAAGCGCGACCGACGGGGCCCCAGCGGCCTGTGCCGACCAGGGGCAACGTTTCCGCCCCAGGACCGGTCCCGAATCCCAGCCCAAGTCCCAAATCGCCCAGCTTGAAGAAATTGGAATAGTTTTGGACACCTTATGGATGATTTTCAGCCGTGGCCATAACCGACCGATTGTTTACTATTGAGATTTGATGAGCCCGTGAGGGGGGGCCGTTCGGGGCGCCCGAATCGAACAAGCGGAATTCCGCGGTTGCCCGCTTGCGCGAAGGATCTCTCGAGGCGCGTTGTGCCGATCGTTGATGCGGCGCGACAGCAGCGGCTTGCGCGGTTGCGTTGGGCCCCCACGGGCGCACCGAAAGCCGCGCGTCAAAGGTCACTCTAACTTGGGGTCACTCTTACGAACGTGCAGCCGAGGGGGGAGCCGAATGTAGTGAGGGAGGGGGGAGGAGGAGGGCGACGAGGACGACGACGACGACGACGAGCCCCTCTCCCAACGAGCGCAGCCGTGGCGCCTAGGCGTGGGAATGGAGAGCAGGGTGGCCGAGCTGGAGGACGTTCTGAGGGCGCAGCCGAAGGTGGGCTCCCGCACGGAGGCCGAGCGCAGACTCATCGAGCAGGCCACCGCCCCTTTTGGAGTTTCGTTCGCCTACGCATCCCTGTCCTTCGAAGAGGGAGAAGAAACGGAGAAACAAATAACTTCCGGAGCTCCGCGCGGATTTCTGGGATCGGCGCTGGCCCCCCTTGGCTGCGCCTGCAGCGCCGCCCCTGGCGCGCCCCGCGCGCAAGGCGATAGGCGTGGGGGGTCCAGCGCCGATCCAAGAAATCCGCGCGGACCTTCGCAATAATCTGTTCATACAGTTTGGTTGCTCATCTACTACCTGCGCCTCCGTGTCCTCTCCTCTGGCTGTCATCCTGTTTCGGCCTCGCCTCCTTCGCCGCTCCCTCCCAGACATCCAGCGTTTCGACAGAATTGTGCCGACGGCCTGTCTTTCTTACTTTTCGGCTCCTTGACTCTGGTTTTGAGCCCTGGGAACGTCAAAGAACAGCTCGGGATGAAACACTGGGATCCTCCGACGCCCGCCCGGCCCCTGTGCCTTCTTCTCACAAGGCCGCCCCCCTTGCGCCACCCCCTTTGGAATGCCGCCGATCTCGACAGTCATCGAGGCGCTGGATGCCTGGGTCCTGCTCTCGCCTGCCGCGCCCTCCGGCCGGAGCATGCGCCTCGAGTTACCGCGGCGCGCTGGGCGCGCCACCCCGAGCTGCGCTGGAGAGACGGAGACCGATATCGCATTTGCCTCGGTGGTTCCCCTGCACTCGTGCCATTACGTATTCTTCGTACTCTTCTGTGTCACCGCACCTTTTGGCCGTCCATGCCGATCAGTGCGAGGCTGTAGCACAACATTTTGGCAGGCCAGGGGGCGATTTGTTGTTGGGCTAGGTCCTATTACTCGCCTTTGGCTTTTCTCTTTTTCCTCCTCTTGTGGCCTGTCTGATTTAATTCTTGCCCAGGGACATGATTTTGAGCATCCGGTGCGTTTTCTTGATATGGCTGTCCTTGCTGTTTGCGGTGGGAAAAACAATAATGCCCACGTCCGCGTCTCCCCCACTCCTGCGGTTCGGCTTTTTGGGTAAGGTACGTTTTCGTTTCGGCTCGTTGCTCCTCAGGTTCGGATGCAACTCCTGGGAGGTTCGATCCAGCATCGGCGCTGGTATATCCGTGGTTCAAAACGTGACAAATCTGGTTCGACTTCTGTGAATTATTCCGCTGAATCTGGCTCAATCGGGCTTAATCCCAGGCCTAATCCGCCCGAGTGTGGCATAATGGCCCCCTATAGTTTGTCTTCGTAGCCCTTCACCGTCCTTGCGAAGACCTCCCACGAGTTGCTTCCTAACTTTAGTTGCTTCCACGTGGTTTTGTTTTTCGGCGTCTCCTCAATATACTAATACTATGTACGCGTCGCTCCCCCAGGGGTCGACGAGCGCGCCCAGAAATCTTCTGGTATGAGCTCCGTGGCGGGCGTTTTCTGGCCACACCGCTCGGGAAACGATGCACTACAGGATGGTCAACCCGTCATACCATATGTTTGGGCCAGGCGCACGCCTCCAAGGAGGGCGAACGAGGCGTTCCAGATAGGGCCTCGCCTTCGAGGATCGGAGGTCGGCGGCGAGGGAGGGGGGGGAAGTGGGAAGGAGAAGGCCTTCTCAGAAGGCGGCGGGACTTCTCAGAAACCCTCGCGCGTTCTGATCGCGCGTTCTGAGAAGTGTTCTGCGTCTTCGGGAAAGGCTTAGACAACTTTTCAGAAGGCTGGGGGACTTCCGAACCCTCTGAGAGAAACTTCTCCGTCTTACTTTCCCCCGGGCTCGCCGCCAAGGAGTTGCAATTTTTTCCCCGGCGGAAAGCGCGGCGGAATGGCTGCAGGATGGCCCGCGGGAAAGCAGAACGAGGCCGGCTCTCCGCTGGCGGAGGCCAGCGGAAGCTCGGCGGAAGCCGGCGAGAGGTAAAAATTGTTTCTTCGGGGCTCAAGCGACAGGGGTCGCTGCAAACGGGGGTCAGCCAGAACGCCGGATCTTGCAGGATCCTGCAAAGCCTGACTGATCCGGGCTTGGATTGACCTGGGTCAGTAGATCGCCAACCTCCTACGAGATCGCAAGGTTTGTATGGTCCAGGGTCTTGGAATCCACCACATCGTACCAACTAGAGGCACATAGCATTAGTCCAGGGAGGACAAGGTATCGATACTGGTGCCCTTTCGTCGTCACGGCCTGGTTCGCCTCGAAGTTCTGGTCAGAGCGCTCCCCCGGGAGGGGTCTGGGGAGCAGCGGTATCGGTACGTTTTTGCCTCCCTAACTAGTCTTCGTGCGTGCTAGTCTTGGCCGAGCGCGCCGCGCAGGAGCTGCGCGCGCGGGGCCAAGAGGGCCAGGAGCGCGAGCTGCAGGCCGCCCTGCAGCGGGCGCGGCAGGAGAAGGAGCCCTCCGCGGGCCCCGTCGTCGCCGCCGCCGGCGTCGTCGGCCGAGGTGGAAGCGAGGAGGGAAGGAGGAGGAAGATGATGGTGGTGATGGTGATGGGGATGGGGAGGGGGAGGAGGAGGGGGGAGAAGGATTGAGGAGGAGGAGGAGGAGGAGGAGGAGGAGGAGGAGGAGGAGGAGAAGGAGGAGGAGGAGGAGGGGGTGGAGGAGAGAGGCGCCAGGACGAGGCCATATCAAAGAACTGCCTCCCCCCTGAGCACCACGGACACCTCGACGATGAGGCCGAGCGCCGTGACCGTGCACACAGAGGCACTCCGTTGCGAGACAACATGACTGTTCACCTTACTGCGCAACCAACTACTCCAAGGATTGTGAGGTGGATCACGCCCGTCCAGCCTACGACAACGCTCATGTTCCCCAGCCGATAATGTTCGATAGCAGGGTGAGAGACAACATACACATATAGCGCCACCACCTGCACAACAAACTGGATTCATGCCGATGTTGTGATGCAGGAAGGCGGGGGCGAGCAACCTGCCAGCACGACAACTCCACAGCATAATCGGCAAGATAAGAATCTGCGGCCTGTTGCTATCTGCTATCGTCGGGCTTAGACGGCAAAGTCGGAGGAGGCAAAGGTGTCTGGCCCCCCTGCCCCATCATAATTTTGAGGCCCGCCAGCGCATCTCCTTATATATCGACTGCATTCACCCCGCTGCACGGAAATGTACTATGGTGCAGAGCCTGTCCTCTGAGCAAGGATTGCGTCATCAGCAGCCAGAGCCGCTCGTTGCTTTACCCAGGCGCCGCCATAGGTCGACGCTGCTGTAGGATGAGCATCCTCCTTCTCCGACCCCTCCGCCTCGGCCGTCGCAGTGGCTGCACTGCGGCGTGCGCCGCCATGCGCGCCCCGCTGCTCCGAGACCGTCAGCCGCTGCCCGCGCTGTGAGCCTCGCGGCCCACTCCTGCGGCGCGAAGGGCGTGGGCCGGGGCAGCCCCCAGCAGGGTCGGGCGGCATCCCCTGTGGGCCAAGGCGTGGACACCGCGCACCAGATTCTGCGCGGCACGACACTGCGCCCGAGCGGCCTGCGCCCTCCGCTCCGCAGCCGAGCGCCGGGGGCGGCCGCGATGCGCCGGGGCGACGCCATGCCGTGCGCGCGAGAGCGAGGGATCGGGGGAGGGCGGGCCGCGGCGCGGGCCTCCTGGCGCTGGCTGGCGAACCCGCGAGGGCTCGGTTCGAATTGGCGCTGGGAGGAGGAGGAGGAGGAGGAGGAGGAGGAGGAGGAGATTGGAGTGAAGATGAGGGAGGAGTGAACCGACTCAACCCTGAACGATGCTGCAGAACACCCCACCGTCCGAAGTCCCTTTGTGATTAGTCCCTGCAGCCCGTCCTTTTCGCTACAGGAAGCGCCCCGTGAAAAGAGGAGCACCCTATCAGCGTGGCATTCATGCGAGTGGCCTGCTTTGAAAAGGAGCTGCATTGCAACTTTCTAGCGAGTCATAAGGAATGCGAGGTGGTGTTATCATACAGCTCAACGAGGTGTCTAGCGATAGTTCCCTTTCGGAACAAAAAAGGATCCGCACCCCATCTGGCGGCTTTTTTTAGCACAGAGTTTGCACTTCTGGCCATTAGATGTGAGAAGATCTCAAGCCAGAGCGCCATCTTGGAAAGGGAAGCAGGAAGAGGGAGGAGGAGGAGGAGCTCGGAGGCACTTCGGTTGCGTTGAAAGGAATGAGGAGGGAGGGGGGGTAGGCGGAGAGAAGGAGGAATAAGGAGGAGGAGGACGATGAGGAAGAGGAGAAGGAGGAGGAGAAGGATGAGGAGGAGGAGGAGGAGGAGGAGGAGGAGGACCAGTGTAAACCCAAGGCGCATCAGCGATGTTGCATTAAACCCTCCCTTCAAGTTCCCTCCTCACAGGTCCCTGCACTAATGTGCTGTCATTGTAGGAAGGGCCCTAGTGGAAGACAACCGTTCGATAATCCTCAATCGTGCCAAAACAACATTCCTGGGACTTCAGCGCCGCGAACAAACGTGACTGCTGCAATTGTGCCAGAATGCCGTTCCTGGGACTCCAACACAGCGAATCAACGATACTTTTGCGTCCTGACCTTCCCAAGTTGTACCACAGCGCAGTCCCTGGGATATGAAGCATGCGAACTTCTGAGAAGGGAAAATGCGCGGTGCTCAGGCGAGAGCCACGGTATGTGGAATGGTAGGACGTTTTCGAAACGAATGTGCGCGTCGCTGTGGCGAGAGTGACATTTTGTAAACGACTCGCCCTCCGTCCGTGAAGCTGTTGCAAACCGTTTTAGACGATCTGTGCGGCGCTGAGGCAAGGCCCACATTTTGAAAAGGGACCGCCCTGCCCTCCACCCGTGAAGCTATTGCAAGCTTTTATGACAAATGTGCGCGGTGCTGAGGCGAGAGCCACATTTTGGAAACGACCTGCTCTCCATCCGTGAAGCTGTTGCAAGCTTTTCAGACGAATGTGCACGGCGCTTTTGGCGAGAACCACATTTTGAAAACGACTTGCCCTCCAACGTGAAGCTGTGGTAAATTTCAAGCTGCAGGATCATATTTGGTGAGGAGTCCCCGGCGAAACGCATGGTCCGCCCTACAGACACGTCTGGGGGTGCGACAGAAAGGAGGATTTATTGTAAAGGCCATGCGCCAGTGCCGCCGACCCTGAAGAGGGGACCTCCCCCCCGACCCAGGGCCTCCGCGGGGACCCCGGGATGGGGCACGGGCTGGGGCTGGGGCCAAGGACGGGTCTGGGGCCGGGGGCCAGGGCCACGGCCGGCGGGGCCCGGGTCGGGGTCGCGACTTCGCGCTGGGGCTGGGGCCGGGGCCAGGGCCGGCCCCAGGGTGGACCCGCATGTCGGACCAATCCCAACCGATTGGTAACAATTACAACCGACCTGGCCATTTCCCAACCGGCCGAAACACCAATTGGTACCAGTTAGAACCAGCCATCTTGAGCCGACAGTAGATTTTCTATGTGTAAAATTTTGAAGCGATTCAGACATCAGCTGAACGTTTTATGTTATTTTTAATGTATCAAGAGCTTGACTTTTAAATCGTGCAAGTTCACAATTCATTCTGGTGGTCAACATGAGTGCACCGGTTGGAATTGGTACTCGTTTATTTTCTGGCATTTCGGAGCAGCGCTAGCTTGCAAGAGGAACTCCTAACAACAGAGATCACCTCAAGACAGCATACATCCCATACAACAATATCCATTCGCAGCACATACCCACAAACCTTTTACAACAACACATATTCAAAGCCCGACTTATCATCCTCCTTGCCATCGTCCGTTCCTTCCCTCCTCCTTTCTTGCCTCTTCCCTCTTCCTCCTATTCCTCCTCCTCCTCCTCCACTTCCTCTTCCTCCTCCACATTCTCCTCGTGTCGCATTCATCCTCCTCTTCTTCCCCATCCTCCTCCTCATCCTCTATTTTCCCTCCTCCTCGTCCTCGTCCTCATCCTTCTCCTCCTCCCTCCTCCTCCTCCTCCTCTTCCTCCTCCTCCTCCTCCTCCTTCTCCTCCTCCTCGTCCTCCTCCTCCTCCTCTTCCTACCCCCAAGCTGGTCCCTGGAGGTCGAGCATAGCTCAGGATATCTTCCGACAGCCTCTAGCCGAGCAGGGCCCCAAATAGCTTCAATGAGGAGTCAAGAGAGCCTCCCGTCGTGTCTGGATGGCCTGGTGGGAATCCACGCAACGTCCAGCGTTTCTGTGCTTCCCGGCGGAGTCGGGTGAAATTCCATGCCCGCCGGTGTGATTGATTGACTCATTGACTGACTGACTGAGCGTCAGAAGAGCACTTCTGACAACACATGTCAAACTGCCCAGGAGCGCGCAACCGCAACAGGGTGACACATTTCAACCAGCCCGCGCCCGCAACCGCAACCGCAACCGCAACCGGGCGACATATTTCAACCCGCCCGCGCAATCGCAACCGCAACCAGACGACACATTTCAACCCGCCCGCGCAACCGCAACCGCAACCGCAACTGGGCGACACATTTCAGCCCGCCCGCGCAACCGCAACCGCAACAAGGCGACACATTTCGACCCGCCCGCGCAACCGCAACCACAATCGCAACTGGGCCACACATTTCAACCCGCCTGCGCGCGCAACCGCAACCGCAACCGGGCGACACATTTCAACCCGCCCGCGCAACCGCAACCGCAACCGCAACCGAGCGACACATTTCAACCCGCCTGCGCGCGCAACTGCAACCGCAACCAGGCGACACATTTCAACCCGCCTGCGCGCGCAACCGCAACCGCAACCGCAACCAGGCGACACATTTCAACCCAGCCGCGCAACCGCAACCGCAACTGGGCGACACAGTTCCACCCGCCTGCGCAACCGTAACCGCAACCGCAACTGGGCGACACATTTCATCTCGGGTACATCGTGTGCACATTCTTTTTCGGTGTACGCTCATCTGCGGCGCTTTCGGGCTGCGCGAGGAGGAAGGGGAGGAAGAGGAGGACGATGAAGTGAAGGAAGGCGGAGAAGGAGGACGCGGAGACACAAGAGGACGGCGAGGAGGGGGAGGAGGAGGAGGAGGAGGAGGAGGAGGAGGAGGAGGAGGAGGAGGAGGAGGAGGAGGAGGAGGAGGAGGGGGGAGATGCAGAGGAACAGGAGGTGCAGGATACGAGCATAAGATCACAGATTTCTTATCGGTGGGTGACATTCCTATTCTCAATGCGACGATCGAATTGCAATTGTTGTCGCTTCGCGAATCCCCACCAGCCCATCCAGAAACGATGCCCAGAGGAATTGCCTCGATCAGAGAAGTGGGCAGCACACAGAGGAAGCCATTATGAGACATCTTGGGATATCTTGAGCCATCTTGGAGGTCATTTTGGGCTCTCCCAGACGCTCTTGGAGTCATCTTAATCCGTGCCCCCCCCCAAGAGGCCTCCATGTGGCTAAAACCTGTGTAGAATCAATGATTAGGCATTCTCGCCGAGGCCTCTTGGAGCATCTTGGGTGCATCTGGGGGGGCTCTTGGGGCCTCTTGGGGGTCTCTTGGGGGCCTCCGGGGGGCCTCTTGGGGGCCTCTTGGGGCCATTTTGGGGCCATCTTGGGACCTCTTGGGGCTTCCTGGGCGCTTCTTGGGGCCATCTTGGAGGAGATCGATCAAACAAGAGGGGGGGTTTAATTAGCGTCCCCCCTCGGAAGCCCCTAAAATCGCCTCTTGGACCCCTCTTGGAACGCTCTTGGAGTGCTCTTGGGCGCTCTTGGGGCCGTCTTGGGGCTCTTTTGGGGCTCTCTTGGGGCCCTCTTGGGCCATCTTGGAACCATCTCCAGGCCTCGGATGGCCATCGGAAGCGAAAAGGCGAGAAAGCAAAAATCATTGATTTTCCTTAGGTTTTGGGACGATTTTGGCCTCTTCGGGGCCTCCTTGGGGAGCTGTTTGGCCACTTGGAGTTATCTTGGGGCCGTCTTTGGGCTTCTTGGAACCATCTTAGGAGCCATCTCGAGCGATCTTGCGCTATCTTGAGCCATCTTGGAGCTCATCTTGGGTTCTCTGAGGCGCTCTTGGAGCCGTCTTGGGCCATCTGGGACGCTCTAACTACCCGCGGCCCCCCCCGTCCAGGTCCAGGGGAGGGGGTAGGGGGAGGGGTAAACCCCTCCCCAAGGGGGAAGAGGGAGGGGTGGAAGAGGATCTGCTCTAGACCACCTACGCCCAGAGGGCTGGTGGGATTTAGCAGCGGCAGCGCAGTGCATCATATCTTGTTGTTTTTTGTCCTCCTCCTCATCTCTTGCTGCACGCTTGCCGCTCGCTTCTTCCTTACACTTCTCTCAGCGATCACCGCATGCATCGCCTTCATAAGCCGGTGATTGCCACGAGTACTGGCCGCAGCTATGCGGCTCTCCAAAGGGGATGGCGTAACCCTGCCAAGTGTCGGTCCACAGCCCGAGACGGAGCGCATACGATCCACCAGGGACGAAACTGCATCACATCCGGCACGCATTCTTTTTCCACTTTCCACTTCCATCATCTCGTCCTCGAGTCTATCTTTCTTGCAGGGCGGGCCGGACGGAGTGGATGAGAGCAGTCGTGTGGGGTCAAAGGCAGTTCTTGTGTCTGATTGCTTGTGTATTGCATTCTAACTGCGTATCAGCAGGACAGGTGGGACCATCATCGTGGCCCTTCTGTAGAAATCACTTTACGCACTCTGCTAAATGTAGTTGTGTTGCTTCCCGACCTGTTGCAGAATGGATTTGTCAGAATTACGTTGTCGTGCTGTCTTCCCCAACCTTCCTAGCCAAGGCATATGCAGTCGTCTTGCCAAGCAATCACCCATGCAAGTCGCGACATGTTTGGCACATCGCGCTGAGATGCCAGCGGTGGACAGTTATGGGTCCACATGCCGACGAATCAGCACAAAAGCAACTGCCTGGGCTGTCAGCGGTTTCTTGTCCGAGTCGTTCAGAACTAAAATTATCAACATCCGCTGTGCCCTTGCGCATTGGCTGCTGCCGGCGGACATGCGTGCAGGACGTGAAAGCCTCGTCTTGTGGACATTGTTCACACATCTTGGCATGTTGTTGGGCATGCAGTTTGCCGCTTCCAAACATGAAAACAAACATTTCGTTCGAGTCATGCTCACGGGGTGCACCCCTTCTGTTGCACGCGTGCTATTGCACAAGTCTTGGAACGAACCATCCTGGCATGACCACCTCTGTGCGTTGTACGCCACCCTCTGGTGCCCGGATGAACGCCCGCTTAGTCACACTTATTGCGCATTTTCGTTGCAATGTTCCGTGTGGTACGTCGGCAGGACATCATATTCCCGACGTCGTAACCGCGCGCTGTGGCCAGGGATCGTGGCAAGGTTTAAAGAGCACTGCATCAATACGGTGCGTGACCACATGCCTCAGCACGGAAGGCCACGATACACGCGATGGGCAGACACGAGCATTTTGACATTATGCATTATGGTCACGGCCACGAGCTCCCCAGAAAATATTGCGAAGTTCGAAGCGCTACAAATCCAAATCCTCCGCCCCCCCACACAGCAGGGGAAGGGGCAATCTCAGCAAGGGCAAACGAACAAGCTACGTCGTTTCCCGAAGCAGCGAGGACGCCCAACGTTGCCGCAAGAGCATCGCCTTAATCTCATCACGCAGCTCAGGGAGAATGCATCCATGCGATCGCGGTTCCACGCGCAGGTGTGCTCGTTGTCGCACTTGTTCTCATGGGCCGCGCACAGGTTCGGCATGTCAAAAACACAAGTCCTCTATGCCATCCATCACAGGGGGCTTGAACTCTGGCACGCCGTGTACTTGGGAGAATCGAAAACGAGACTTTGCTACGCAAGATGTTGGCGTCACGCATATGTTGTCCACTACGTGCTCACCGTGTGGGCGGCTTGCCGGTACCTGCCCAAGGACGCTTGTTTGCGAGCGCGTGGCAAATTGGAACGATTCCTCAGGACAGGGCATCTGCTCCCCACGCATGTTTGCAGGATCACAATTGCTTGTAGCTCGGCAGAATATGTGCACAGGGCAAAAACAATCATCAAGGCCTATTATGCCCGGCTCGATCGAGGATTCGGCAGTCGGCTGGCTCATTTTCTGTGGCGCAAGACGCGATTCGTGCGCGCATCAGGCAGAAAAGTCAGCCAACGCATCAGTCACCACCACAAGTGTGGACAGTACTTCACGATCCCGCTGTTCGACAGCATTCGTTCCCAACCTGGACGCACCAATGACGTCATTTGGTGTGACCTTCATTGGGATGTTGCCGAACGCGACGACCCTGATTCCATATGGGCGCAGATCGAGCACCAACTTCGATTGCACTATTTTCGGTATCATGTGCAACACGCCAGAATCAAATGGCGTTAGTTGGAAGGAGTGTGGAAAAGGCTGTGTCAGCACACGCCTGATGATGACACACGTGAGCCCTTGGGGCAAGTGCGAGACCACATGTTGGAGGAATGCCCAAACATGGTGTGGGTTCCCGTCGACAAGGACAGTCATCGACGTGTGGGAATCCATTGGAAAGACTATATGTGGAGGCTCGGCGAATTTTTTTTTTTTTTTTTTTTTTTTTTTTTTTTTTTCAATGGTTCCGTACATTATATACCTCGTCCACAACTTAAACGGCAAGATGTTGCTAAGATGCACGGCCGCCTCGTGCGGAAGTACGTGCCGACGTCGTGGCGTGTCCCAGGGAACACGCGGTGCGAGGACCTCCCGAGATCAGACATCACTATTAAATCGAAGTGTCTGGACCGGCAAACCGGTCGCTTGGTATGCACCAAACAGCACGCGCACCATCGCGAGATAATTTCATCACGCTCTGAGGCGCAGAAATCGTTCTTGCACCTCTGTGCAAGAGCATTGCGAATCGCCAAGAGACTGTCGCATGATCCGTGTTGGACCATCTGGAAGCCACTCCAGCTGGCCCACGTGTTGCGTACAAAACTGGATAGGCTCAGCAAGCCCGCGCGCTTTTGCAATGCATGCCCGTGCGGACGGAAAAAGCATCGCGTCACTTTCATCAAATGCGATGCCTCGCAGTTTTTTAAAGATGCGTCCGTGGAACGAGGCATCCAGAGAGCGAACGTGTTGCTCGACAGGGTCAAACGCCAGACTGGAAAGACTGCCGTGGCTGTCGCCAAGGGGCAGAAAGCTGAGGGGCGACTTTGCGACCCCAGGGATGCACGGCGGGACCACGAGGACGTCATTCCCTTCTCACACATCAGGAAAGCATTGCAGTTTGCGAAGCATGATTCCTACGCATTCCTGGGCGAGGTTGCCTTTCGTCGGATTGTTGGATGGCCGATGGGCGGTTCCCTTTCCGAGCCGGCCACGTTGGCCGACCTCGGAGAAGACATCCGGAGGCTGTACACTGACGAGAACTTCGCAAAGAGCATCGGTTTCAGCGCCCACGGTTTCACTGCAACACAAACTGTGCAAGGCATACTTTACGTTGACGATTCGCTTGTTTTCTCCGGAATCTTTTTCGAGAGATGCTTGTTCCAAGGCATGGAGCGGCTATGGCCTCAAGACGCCGGGGTCGCACTTGAAGGCTCAGGGCTCCCGCTGCGACACCTGCAAGGCGAAATCTTTGAGGCTGGAGGGGTCTACCACGTCTGACCATTTAGCCACCATCATGATTTCTCGCAGGGTGTCAACCAAAAACCACACGTTGCTAAATTCCCTTGTTTCGCTTCTGCTCTAGGCGTGCTGCGGCATCGCGACCTGCGAGCGCTCGTGCTTGGGAAAATCATGGCAGGCGACGCGATTGCAATGGGTTCATTTGCTCTCGCATGCAATTTCTTGGTTGATGTCGTGTCCGAGGCATATATGCTGGAGCGGCCATGGGACTGGATATGCAAGGTCCTGCGGTCTATCCCACGCAGGCACAGGAACGAGTCGGTGCGAGTTATCCGCCTCATTGGCCGCCTGCTTGAATCAGCGTCGAAGGCCATTGTTCGCAGAGGCTGCGACCTTCGCAAACTCCCCACCTTGAACCCAGCATACCTCGCACGTTTCTTCCTGGACGTGTTCGAGAATGCCGTGCCGGAGCCACGCGTTTCCCCCTCGGTCGTCTGTTCTCCCACCTCGCGGTTGGAGGCCGTCTGAGGCGCAGTTGTGCGGTTCCCTTTCTCAGAGACCCACCCGTCCGATACCCAGCAGTACGTGTCTCCCCGGCGCCATGGGCTGGGGGGGCTACCGGAAGCCACAGCGCCCCGCGTGCAGCAGCGGGGGCAACGGTGGCAAGGGCAACGGCAAGGACTCCTGGACCTGGTCCGCCCTCCAGGAGCAACGCGAGGCGAACCGCAGGTACGCCGAGAAGGAGCAGCAGCGTGAAGCAGAGGAGCAGAGAGAGTCACTACTGGCAGAGGTTGCCCATACCACGAAGAACACGGTCAAGAGCATTTTCGGCATGGGCAAGAGCAGGAAAGTGAAGAAGGAAAAGAAGTACAAGAAGGAGAAGAAGGATCGCACTCCAAGTTTCCGTTGGACTCGGGCGCTGGGGCGCTCGCTGAAACGCAACGAATCTTCATCATCAAGTGGTCCTACTTCGTCGTCGGCGTCGTCATCGGCGAGCCGGAGCCCCGCCGGGTTCATCAAGTATGCCATGCGCGCCTTCAGGAAGAGGATCGGCAAGGAGAAGGACCGCCGGAAGAGGGATGACCCACGCGACGAGTTGCTCGCGAGCCTCTTGGCGAGGCAGAACAAGTTGACGAAGGGCGACATCGGCCTGATCAAGGACCTCTTGAATCATCCCAGCCGGGGCGCAGCTTCAGACAGCGCTGGCCCGGCTGGCACTGCCCAGGGCTCAGCGGCCGGCCGGAAGCGCCTCAAATCGCCGGACCCGGCGGCACCTCCCCACCCGGACGCGGAGAGGAAGAGGATTCATGATGAGATCAAGGTGTGTCCTGAGGCTGACGCCACCGACTGGCCGTCTGACCACGCTGGCTGGGCAGCCAAGTGCGCGGATGCCACTGGCCACACCATGCTCAACGCGGTTTCGAAGGCGGTGAACCTGTCCACCAGCGGCGCCATCAGCAAGGTCGACAAAGTGCAAAACTTCATCAAGTATCTGGAGTCGTGAGAGGAGTGGCAGTGTCTCGATTGCCACACATTCTGTCGGAGCGTGGCTGCTCGCCAGCCGCGCCCGCCGGAAACACCCCCGGAGGCACCCTCGGACACGATAGCTTGCGCTGGCTCTGGTGCGTGCTTTCGAGTGACAGCCAGCCGGTACGTTACGACATGACGTTCCTAGAGTTTCTTTGGACGCTCGCAGTTTTGCTTTGGTTGCCGTTCGCGCTGACGGCTGATCTCCTTCAGATGGCCATTGAGCGGGCCACCAGGCTCCGAGGGACAGCTAGTACGGTGCTGGCCCTTCTCCTCTCCCACGGCCTGCTTCTCCATGCTGCTGCCCAACTTTTCCGGGTGGGTCTAGCAGCAGCACCAGCAGGATACGAGCATAAGATCACCAATGTCTTATCGGTGGGTGACATTCCTATTCTCAATGCGACGATCGAATTGCAATTTAGCAGCGGCAGCGCAGTGTATCATATCTTGTTGTCTTTTGTCCTCCTCCTCATCTCTTGCTGCACGCTTGCCGTTCGCTTCTTCCTTACACTTCTCTCAGCGATCACCGCATGCATCGCCTTCATAAGCCGGTGATTGCCACGAGTACTGGCCGCAGCTATGCGGCTCCCCAAAGGGGATGGCGTAACCCTGCCAAGTGTCGGTCCACAGCCCGAGACGGAGCGCATACGAGCCACCAGGGACGAAATTGCATCACATCCGGCACGCATTCTTATTCCACTTTCCATTTCCATCATCTCGTCCTCGAGTCTATCTTTCTTGCATTGCGGGCCGGACGGAGTGGATGAGAGCAGTCGTGTGGGGTCAAAGGCAGCTCTTGTGTCTGATTGCTTGTGTATTGCATTCTAACTGCGTATCAGGAGGTGCAGGATCACGAGGAATAGAAGGAGGAGGTGGAGGAGGAGGGCGAGGAAGAGAAGGACGAGAGAGAGCGGGACGAGGAGGATGGGCAGGATTGCCAGGAGGAAGAGGAGGAGGACGACGACGATGAGGAGGGGGATGCGGCGGTGGTCGTGTTCCAGGGGGTTCTAGGAGCAGGCGCCGATGGTGGGCCCGATAGCTCGATAGTAATATGGATGGCCAGGAGGATGCGAAGGAGGAGGGGGGAGCCTATGAGGAGGAGGAGGAGGAGGAGGAGGAGGAGGAGGAGGAGGAGGAGGAGGGAAGAGGACGAAAACGCGGCTCTCCACTGGGACATTGCAGCGGGGAATCCCCATTCCACGCTGCTGCCTCGTTTGTTTGAACATGCATTCGATAGGGAAGTGGGGAAGGTGGCGGCGGCGGAGGGCAAGGTGACTTGTTCGGCCACCGTCTCCCTCCCCATGGGTTTGGAGTCTCCCTGAAACCACAAGGGCAAAAACGCTTCCATTGGAAGCGTCGTCCTCGGGGGTTTGGGAAATCCCGCCCCCGCATGAAAGGAGGCGGGGGCCGAACGACTCGGCGGCGGCGGAGGGTAAAGCGACTCGTTCGGCCACGCTCTCCCTCCCCATGGGTTCGGGGTCTCCCTGAACCCCCGAGGGCACGAAACGTTTCCATTGGAAACGTCGCTCTCAGGAGTTTGGAGATTCTGTGCCCGCAGGAAAGGAAACAGGGCCGAACGACTCGGCGGCGTCGGCGGCGGAGGGCAAGGTGACTCGTTCGGCCACGCTCTCCCTCCCCATGGGTTCGGGGGTTCCCCGAACCCGCGAAGGCACGAAACACTTCCATTGGAAGCGTCGCCATCGGGGGGTTGGTGGGGATATCGCGCTCGCATGAAAGGAGGCAGGGGCCGACCGATTGGGCGGCGACGGCGGAGGGCAAAGTGACATGTTATCCCCCGCTCTCCCCATGGGTTCTGGGGTTCACCGAAGCCCCGAGGGCACGGATCCGTTTCCATTGGAAGCGTCGCCCTCGGGGCCCGGAAAACCCCGCGCCCGCAGGAGAGGAAGCAGGGCCGAATGACTCGGTGGCGGCGGAGGGCAAGGTGACCCGTTCGGCCACGCTCTCCCTCCCCGTGGGTTCGGGGGCTCCCCGGACCCTCGAAGGCACGAAACGCTTCCATTGGAAGCGTCGCCCTCGGGGCCCAGAGAGGCCCGCGCCCGCAGGAAGCCGCAGGAATCTTTCAGGAATCTGCAAGAATCCTCTTAGGATTTTTTTCAGGAATCCCTCAGCAACCCAAAAAATCTGCAAGAATCCATCGGGTTCCTGAGAACCCACAAGAGATCCTTCCGGAAACCTCAGGAATCCAAAGGAATCTTGAGGATTTGTTCAGGAGTCCTTTTTAGAAATGTTCAGATATTTTGAGGAGTCCTTCAGGAAGCCTTTCGAAATTGTCATGGGCCCTGAGGACTCTTCAGGAATCTTCAGCAGGAACCTTAAAAGAACCTTTAAGCAACCGGTAAGGAGCTTTTTTGAAGAACCTTTGAGGAGCTTCTAAGGAGCCTTTTCAGGAACCTCTAAGGCACTTTTAAAGAGGTTCTAAGTCGCCCTCGGATTTCCTCCCTGCCCACAGTTGAGGCCAGCTTCCCAGACCCGCCAGGACCCCCCGAAGTGTAGTAATCTGAGCCGGGGCCCCATCCCGCACCCCCTCCCGTACCCCTTCCGTGCCCATCCCGTGCCCCACAGTACCCCCCCGGTCAGGGAAGGGAGGGAAGGGAACTAACTCAGATACGACGTTTTTTTTTCTCTGTTCCTTCTTCAATTTTCTTGGGACTGGCGGCGACGACGACGACGACGACAGCGCCCCACTTACTCCGACGGGACTTACGCCGAGGGGCCGGCGGATTTTTTAGCAACAGGGATGGAGGGAGGAAGGTGGGAGGAGGGGGGAGGAGGACGGAGGAGGGCGGCGATGACCACGGCCGTTCGTCGCCGCCGCCGTCGCCGCCGCCGCCGCCGCAGGCGTCGCCGATCGGCGGCTTAGGAGGGCGGAAGCCTTTGTCTGACAGAGACCGCTCGGGGCCCCTCGAGGGCCCTCGGCGGCTTCCGGCGGACCCGCCAACGCCGCCGTCGCCATCGGTCAGAAATTTTAACAGAAGTGGTTCGTCATTTTCTCTGCGGCGTGGCCGGGGGGAACTGAGAGTGGGCGCACCCAGGTGCTATCCTGGGCTGTCTTGGGTGTCTCTGTGGGCTTGCGCCGACCGATTTGGCACTGCCGCCCGCCTGCGTGCACGCCTTGGAAAGGATTTTCGACCGTCCCCGTGGCACGGATCCGGGGGGTCCCGTTTCGGGGGGGGGGGCTTCCGCATTCCCGGAATTATAAAAATATAGAAAAGGGAATATTGTAGTGGCCTTCGGCCAGTGCCGCCGATCCGGGGCGCTCCGACTGATGTGATCCTTCTTCGCCCTCGTCCCTCCTCTCTTTTTCCCTCCCCTCCTCTCACTCAGCATTTATCCAGTGGCCGTCGGCCTATCCCGCCACCGTGCGTGGGTGGTGGGTCAGAGGCCTCATGGATGCTGGTTGGGATCTCGTGGTTGGCTGGGACTTCTGGGGGCCTCTTGGGCGCCTCTTGGGGCTTCTTGGGGGCCTCTTGGGCCTCTTGGGGCCACTAGAGGGCCTCTTGGGGGTCTCTTGGGAGCCTCTTGGGGCTTCTTGGGGGGCCTCTTCTGCGCCCCTTGGGGCCTCTTGGAGGCCTCTTCGGAGCCTCCTGGTGCGGGAGGGGTGGCACTCGAGTTCGGAACCCCCTCGGAGGCCACGATCCTTGTGAGGGGTGTCAAAAAACGCATCCGCCGGAAACTCGCACCCCCCCCCCACCCCCCCTTCCCCGGCAGAGCCACCCCGGCAACCCCCCCAGAGGCTGAGGCTCAGCCTCGAGGCTGTAACTGAGACTCCTTGAAACTCACACGCCGGATCGGCGGATATGTGTGTGTGTGTGTTTGTGTGTGTGTGTGCCACCCCTCCCCCCAGCACCCATTACACGCCTTCTCCCTTTCCGCGAGGCTGGAGTCGCGCCGCTCCCCTCCTGCATCCCTTCCCTCTCCGTGCCTCTTCTTCTTCTTCGCGGAAGCCTTCCCCCGCATCCGCTAGCGGCACATTTTCCACAGGCGCCAGCGTGACAGATGCAAGCGTCTGCTTCCTCGACGTAGAGGGGGAACAAGCGTGTGAGTCATCCTGTAGACGAGAAATCTGCAAACCCCGCGATTTCATCGGATTTCTGGGATGCTAATCGACGGAACCCTGTGATTTCTTTGGGTTTCCAGGGATTCCTGGAATTTCATACCCTGGCGCAAAACCTACCTTGGGACCCCCAGGAGGTCCAAGGCTCAGATCAGAATCCAAGGGATCCCACATGAAATCACAGGGTTCGCGACGTCGGTGATGCGCAAACCTTGTGAGTTCGTTCGGGTTTCTTTGATTTCTGGGACGCTAATCGACGAAACCCTGTGATTGCATTGGGATCCTTGGGATTCCTAGGATTTCATACCCTGGAGCAAAACCAACCTTGGGATCCCCAGGAAGCCCAGGGCCCAGAATTCCACGAAGCCAAATGGAATCGCCAGCTTCGAGACGTCGGTGATGCGCAAACCCTGCGGTTTCATATGGGATTCCTGTGATTCCTGGGATGCAAATCAACGAAGCCATGCGGTTGTACTAGGATTCCTGGGATTATTGGGATGCTAATCGACGAAAGCTCGCGATTTCATTTGGATTCCTGGCATTCCTGGAGTTTCACACCCTGGAGCAGAGCCAGCATTGGGATCCGCCCCCAGGAGTTTCAAGGCTCCGAATCCAGGAACCCAAGTGCAATCACAGGGTTCGCAACGTCGGTGATGCGCAAACCGTGCGATTACATTGGGATTCCTGGGTTTTGGGATGCGTATCAACGAAAATTCACGATTTCATTAACGTGGGGTTCCTGGGATTTCGTACCCTCAAGCAAAACCAACCTTGGGATCCCCAGGAAGTCCAGGGCTCATAATCCCACGAATCCAAATGAAATCGCAGGGTTCGCGACGTCGGTGATGCGCAAACCCTGCGATTTAAGTTGGGTTCCTGAGATTCCTGTGATGCTGATCAACGAAACCATGCGATTTAATCGGGATTTCTGGGGTCCCACGGATTTCATACCCTGGAGCAAAACCAACTTGGGATCCCCAGGAGGTCCAGGGCCCATAATCCCAGGGATCCCAGTGAAATCGCAGGGATCGCGACGTCGGTGATGCGCAATCCTTGTGATTTCAAAGGGATTTCGGGGATTTCTGGGATGCAAATAAATGGTACCCTGTGATTTGATTGGGAATCCTCGGGTTTCTGGAATTTCATATCCTGGAGCGGAAATAAAGCACGAGCCCTGGGGGTCACAGATCGGGGCTGAAAATCAAAGGAACCCAAGTGAAATCGCAGGATTTCGTTGATTAGCATCCTAGAAATTTGAGGAATCCCAGTGTAATCGCGGGATTGCGCATCACCGACGTCGCGAACCTTGCGATTTCATTTGGATTCTGGGGATCCCAAGGTTGATTTTGCTTCAGGGTATTAAACTCATGAGTCCCAGGACTCCAAATGAAATCGGAGACTTCGTCGATGAGCATCCCAGGAACCCCAGGAACCCGAATGAAATCGCTGGGTTTGCGCATCACCGGCGCCGCGAACCTTGCGATCTCATTTGGATTCGTGAGATTCTGAGCCCTGGACCTTCTGGGGATCCCAAGGTTGGTTTTGCTTGAGGGTACGAAATCCCAGGAAACCTAGGAATCCAAGTGAAGTCGAAGGGTTTCGTCGATTAGCGTCCCAGAAGTCCAAGGAATCCTTGTGTATTTGCTTAATCACAAGGTTTGCGCATCACCGACGTCGCGAACCTTGTGATTTCATTGGGCCTCCTGGGATTCTGAGCCCTGGACTTTCCAGGGATCTCAAGGTTGGCTTTGCTCCAGGGTATGAAATCTTAGGAATCCCAGGGATCCTAGTGAAGTCACAGGGTTTCGTTGATTTGCATCCCAAAAGTATTAGGAATCTTAGTGTAATCACTGGGTTTGCGCATCACCGACGTCGCGAACCCTGCGATTTCATTGGGATTCCTAGGATTCTGAGCTTTGAATTTCCTGGGGTTCCCAAGGTTGTTTGGGATCCCAAGGTTGGCTTTGCTCCAGGGTATGAGATCCCAGGAATCCCAGGCATCCAAGTGAAATCATTGGGTTTCGTCGATTAGCATCCCAGAAATCCCCGGAATCCTAGTGAAATCGCAGGGTTTGCTGATTTCTCGTCTACAGGATGGCTCGCGCGCTTGTTCCCCTTGTATGTAGAGGAAACAGACGCTTGCATCTGTCACGTTGGCGTTTGTAGAACATGTGCCGCTGGCGGATGCGGGGGGAGGCTTCAGCGAAGAAAAACAAACGCGGAGGGAAGGGGTACAGGAGGGGAGCGGCGCGACTCCAGCCTCGTGGAACGGAAGAAGGAGTAGGGTGGGTGCCTGGGGGGGAGGCTGTCCATATATATATATATATATATATATATATATATATAGTTATATATGTATACATATATAGTTATATATAATTATATGTATACATGTGTATGTATATATATAGATGTGTTTGTCTGTGTAATTTCTCTCGCCGCAGGGGCTTGGTCCGCGCGCGGCACGATACTGCCGCGCAGGGACATTTCAGATGCGACTCACTTGGCTAGCTTATTGTGCGCTGTGTTGTAGTCGTTCCCCCCGTCCTTTCGCCTCGTTCCCTCCCTTCCCCTTTCCTTCGCTTCCTTCTCGACTAGCCTCTGCGCCCACGAGCCTTGGCTTCTCTTTCCGTTCCTTTCTTCTCCCCTGGTCCCCTCCCTTGCCTTTCAAAGATTGCGCTTCTGGATGGCAAATGTCGCGTGGGCCGATCGCCCTCCTTCATGCGGTTCGCTTTCAGGTGGTGGTCATGCCTTTTTGTTTGAAGGCTCTTCTGGAGAATACTGCATGCGGACCCGTGCGGTTCGACGACGATCAGTCGCCCCTCCATCTCACGCTGTGGCACAGCGATGCTGTCGTGATTTGTAGTCCCTGCGGGAGGAGTTCACAATCTTCGTTGCGCGGTGGTAAACAAACATTTTGTTTGTCTTTCTTTATTTCTTTCTAGGTGCCCTTGTTTTCATATCCCTCTCTCTCTCTCTCTCTCTTCCTCTGTCCATCTCAAAGGTGGAGAGAGAGATAGTGGTAAAGTCGGAGTGGAAAGAGCGAGAGAGAGAGAGAGAGAAAGAGAGACAAAACAAGAGCGCCTTTGTTTGTTCTATTTCGTCTTTGCTTCTCTTTTCCTCATCAACTCGCTGTGCCACCTATGTTGCAGTTTGTGTATAATCTGGGGTCTGCACACGTTGTGGAGGCCTTGCGGCCGGTGCCGCCGACCCTGTATGCTTGGGCGCAGGAGGAGGAAGGGGGGAGGGAATGAGGGAGGAAGGGAAAGAGGGAGGGTGGAGGGAGGTAGGGAGGGAGGGAGGGAGGGGAGGAGGGAGGAGGAGGAGGAGGAGGAGGATGAGGACGACGACGACGACGAAAACGACGAGGAGGAAGAGCAGGTGGCGGAGGACGAGGAGAATGAAGAGGAGGAGGGGGGGTAGGGGACCACCCTCCGGGAGCCCACGGAGGGGCGTGCATTCTGGCCTGAAACCCCCGCCCACGATCCCCCCCGGGACCTCTTTGGGGGGAGGGTGGTCAACACCCCTTTTGGGACCCCCCCCCTGGCGGAGAAGGGATCAAAGGGAAGGAGCTCCCTTTCGACTCAACGTCGACGTTAGGGAAAAGGGCACGACGCGGGCCACCCCCCTGGGAGTCCGCGGGGGGATGGTGTTTTGACCCTGGATACCCGCCGGGACACTCCCTCGGGCTCCCCGCCCAGCCCCCCTCCTGGCGGTGAAGGTCCTTTTGGCTGGTGCGCTTGAGGAGGAAGCCCAGGGCAAGGGCAAGGGGGGGGGGTGCGGCGACAACGACGACGAACGGAAGACGACGACGACGACGACGAACAGAAGAGCGTCCCGCACACGCAGACAGGGTCGGCGGATTCTCTCCCTGCTCAACGATCCCCCCTCGAGGACGCGCTGCGCCGGGAGCTGGAGGTCGCGCGCGCAGATTTCCGCCGCCGCCGCCGCCAGAGGGCCCCCCTCCCCCGAGCGTGGATCGTTCAAGAGAAACGGCGCTCGTTCAAGCGAGAAAATAATTCGCTCAAGCGAAAAAGCAACCAGCGAAAACTATGGCAGATCACTGGGTTTGGTACCAATCGTGGTCTCCATAGCACAGAGGCACAGAACAGCAGAGCACTGAGACACAGAGCACCAGATCACAGAGATCCAGAGCACCACATCACAGAGACAGAACGCCAGATTACAGAGACCCTCAGCACCACATCACAAGACACAGAGCACCATAACACCGAGACACAGAGCACCAGATCACTGCACGGAGACACAGAGCACAATAAGTAGCACCGAGACACAGAGCACCAGAACACAGAGACACAGAGCACCCGAAAACAGAGACGCAGAGCACAGATGCAGAGTATCATATGACAGGGAGACAGAGCACAACAACACAGAGACACAGAGTAGCAGAACATCGAGGCACAGAGCGCCAGAACAGAGAGACACAGAGCACCATAACACAAAGACACAGTGCGCCAGAACGCAGAGAGACATATTACTTTCACCGGAACACAGAGACACGCAGCACCGGAACACGAGACATTTAGCACAAAAACATGAGACACAGAGCGCCAGAACACCGCGACTCAGAACACCGAGACACAGAGCACCAGAACACAGAGGCACAGAGCACCAGGAAACAAGAGCGCCAGAACACAGAGACCCAGAACACAAGATCACCGAGACGCCGAGCACAAGAACACAGAGACACAGAGCACCAGAACACCGAGACACAGAGCACAATCGCACCGAGGCACAGACAGCCATAATAATGGAGAAACGCAGAGCGCAATGAGACAGAGACGCTGATTGCGAGAATAGAGACAGTGCCCCAGAACACCGCGACACAGAGTACCAGAACACGGAGACACAGAGCACCATATTACAGAGGCATAGAGACGCATGACCCAGAAGCACAGAGACATAGGACACGGATGCACATAGCACGAGAACACAGAGTCAAAGAGGAATTCACACTCAGATGCAACAACTCAGAACACAGAGGCACCGAGACACAGAGCATAAGAACACAGACATGGAGCACAATTTCAATGATACGTTGTGAACGAGACCTCCGAGACACAGAGCACCAGAACACAGAGACAGAGGAACACAACAACACAGAGACACAGAGCACGAGGCAATCGAGGCAGAGAGCACAAGAAAATAGAGACACATAACACCATATTACAGAGACGCAAAGCACCATATCACAGAGACGCAGAACGCAAAAACACAGAGACACGGAACACACCAGCTCTTAGACACAGAGCACCAGAACATCGAGACACAGAGCACCAGTACCAGGACAGAGAGACATAAAATACTAGATCACAGAGACACAGAGCACAAGAGCACCGAGACACAGGGCACAATGACACGAGACGCAGAGCACCAGAACACCGAGACACGGAGCGCCATAACAAAATATCACCACAACACGCAGAGCACGATAACACAGAGACACAGAGCACAGTGCCAAAGCGACGCATAGCACAATACTACCGAGATGCAGAGCTCCATAATGCAGAGACAGAGCACAATAACATAGCGACGCACAGTACAATACCAGAGACACATAGCACCATAACACAGAGACACATAGCACCAGACATGATACAGGGACATGGAGACACATAACACAGAGACGCAGAACGCAGAGACATCGAGACGCCTAATGCAGGGACAGCAATACACAGAGACACAGAGACACAGAACACAGAGACGCAGAGACACAGAACACAGAGACACAGGTCACCAGAAAACAGAGGCAGAGACATGGAGCACCGAAGCGGGCCGAAACGTGGCCGCGAAGCGCGTGAAGTTTGCGACGAGATGGGCCCGAGGCGGCATGCGAACGCAGCCGATGCGGCGACGACGACGGCGACGATCGCGACCGCGACCGCGACCACGGCTGCGACGAAACAGCGGCGGCGGCGACGACGACGTGGCCAGCAAGCTCCGCGCGCGAGGGGCGCGCGCCCCCTCCAAGAGTTTTGCAAAATCACGGTTCCCGCCAGCCGTAGGGTGCGGGGGTGCCAAGAAGCGGGATTTCCGCGCGTTTTGGGTAGGAGTTTTGCAAATCCCGCTTCCCGCCAGCCGGTAAGACTTTTGCGCTTCCCGGTTTCGGGTAGCCGATCCATGTTTTCCTGCTGGAAGTTGCGTGCGGCTCGAAGGGACGAGGAGGATTGCAGGGAGGTGAGGGGGTCACGAAGAGGATCAGGGAGGTGTCCGCAGCTCATTCCTTTTCGCGTGCACGCGCCGAAAGGGTTTCGCTCGAACGGCCGCGGTTTTCGCGCAAATCGTTTTCGGGCGGAAGGCACGCCCTCGCCTCCTTCCGCCCACACCTTGGCAGCTTGTGGGCGCCTCTCTCCCCCCCTCCCCAGACATCTGGCGTTCCGAAAAACAGAATTCAAGACGGTGTCGTTATTCCGTTTCCCACCTCTGGAGGCCGGCTCCGGGCCCTAGGAAAACGACTCGGGATGAAAAGCAGGCCCAGGGGTCGAGAGGTCATCGGGCAGGGCCAGGACAAGGATAAATCCGTTCCAGGGCTTCCTGGAACGCTCTCTCAGACCTTTCTGGAACGCTCTTAGAAGACCGCGGCGCCTGATACATCCTCCAGAGCGGCGGGATTTCAGAGATTCTCAAGTCATCCTCGTCCGAAATGATCCTCGTCTTGGATCGGAGGGCCGTGTCTCCAACAAATCGACACGCTGGATGTCTGTACCCCCGCCCCCCCCCCCCGGGCGCGCCCGGGGAGCTGCCGGGAGCGCGAGCCACGGGGGGGGGGGGGCTCCTGCTCCAGCGCCCTCCTCCTACCACTATTCAATGTGAGCGCTGCCCTCCTTGCGGGTCCCAAGACTATGCACCACCACCATTTCCATTCCCCCTCCCTCCGCCACCCTCTTGTTCCCCTCCTCTCTCCTTGGAGAGGGAAGGTCGGAACGATTGAAATTGGTACGGAAAGAACGGGTACGATGCCCAACCGCAGTTTCTGTTCATTTTGAACAGGACTCGCTGTCCGCGCCGCCGCGGACGTTGTCCTTTGAAGACAAAACGCCGTCTGCCCAACAGCGGCCGCTGTCGCTTTTGGACAACGCTTGTTGTTGGGTAATGTACCCATTATTCCCGTACCCATTTCGGGCATCCAAAAAGGGGGTGGAGGAGGTGGTCTTGATGTATATATTTTTTCGGCCCCCTCCTCTCCCCCGACTGCGTCCTGGCAGTGTTCCGCCCTCTCCGTAGACTCTTTACTCACAGGGTGCCAATCAGTTGGCATGTCGTGCGGTCTGTTTCGATCGTAACGGCTTCGGCGTTTCAGAGTGGTGTTGCCGATGCAGCGTGGGCCTCGTTTTGAGATCGGTGCTTTGCTCCAGTGGTTCAGAATGGCGCTCTCGCCCCCGCGCGGGCCACTTTTCTGGATGCGAGGCCTTTTCTCATCGTTATCGCCCTGCTTTCCCCTCCTCCGCCTTCCCGTGGTCATCCTGCTCCTCCCGCTCCTGCCACTCTTGCCCCTGCTGTTGCTGTTCCTCCTCGTCCTCTATTTTCCTTATCCTACTCCTCTTTCTCCTGCTCTTTCTCCTTCTCATCTTCCTGCTCATCTGCTCATCGCCACCTCCTCCCCATATGTACGGAGCTCCCCTTTCTGAGTGCGTATAGCACGATGGGATTTTTAGGGGTTCCAGGTCTTCTATGGCACCCATCTGCGGATAGAGGGAACATCAGCGCAACGGGTTGGGATGCGTGGGAGGGGTTAGATATCAGATATGGCGCGAGCGCACCTCCTAGCTTGCCTCGCCTCTCTTCCTCCCCTCCCCCTCCCACGATTGGTTGTGAGCTCTGGCGGGGCGATTCCGTGCCAGGGAGGAGGCATTTGGGCGTTGGAGGCGCCCCGAGGTGATGATGTTGTCCCCTCAGGCTGTCGCGTCTTCATCTCCTCCTAGCTTCCTGGCTTCCCCCTCCCCTCTCACGATCGCTTGCGAGGCTGGGAGGGGCCCGGGCGACGCAGGCGGGATCCCCCCCGCCCCCCACCAGTCGCCTCACTAGTCGCTGCCAACTGCAGCCGTCGTGGAGGAAAGCCACGCCCGGCTCAGCGTTGCAGCACAGGGTTCAACAGGTTGCCTTCCCCCCGCAAACACAATGGACCAACCTGCCCCTGTTACTCTTCGTCGTGGACCTCCTGCACCCCTCTTTCTCAAACGTGGCTCGTTCTCCGCGCGCCACCACTCGTGTCAGTAAGGTGGGCTGGGCGCCTCGCCTGAGGCTTCCGCACCGATTGCGATCTTGTAGCTTGAGATTTGAAATCGTCACCCAGCGAGCGCGTTCCACGTGCCTACTCGCAAAAGGTTCAAAATCAAATGTCTGCCTCGATGTAATGGATCGCAAATCCCCCTCGGCGGATCCGGACCATTTGCAAGTAGTTACTTTGCGAGTACCGGAACGCGCTTGTCTAGTTACAGAGATGGGGGGCGGCCGTTTCCAACATGTTGCTCTCGCCTGAACGCCGCGCACAGTCGTCTCAAAGGGTTCAGATTATGCAAGGACGGAGTCGAGTGCGGGTGGTTTTCAAAATGCCGCTCCTGCCTTCTTGGAGCAAGGCCGCAGACCCAGCGCTGACGTGCATGTTGGTCATGAGACGGCGGGGATGGTCTTGGCCAGAGTTGCACGCTTTCGTGGCGAAAGACGGGCACGAGCTGGGTCTTCGTAGTTGTTGCCCAGCCGACGCCAGTGTCATGGCGTCCACGGACTCGGACAGCGCGACCAGCTTGTGGCGCCTTCGTGCCGCGCCTGTGCGGCCCGCGGCACGAAGGCGCGTGGCACGGCGCAGCACCGCCTTGGTTACCGTCGACCCTTCCGCGAGTACCGCTTGCAGATTCCTCCTCGCTGGCAGCCTGCCATCGCGACGAGCCAAGGTCGAT